CCCCTCGCACTCGCACGCGGCAACTTCGCAGGGAAGAAGGGCCCCCGGGGGGCCCCCGCAAGCAGCAGACAGAGATGTTTGTCTCCCTTGTGTCTGGACGATATGCTCAAAATAGTCTGGGGGGCCCCCCGGGAGGCCGCAGCCCTTATTCTCGCGGACGCGGAGCCGGGGGCCCCAGGGGCCCTAGGGGCCCCGGGCGCCCCGGGGGCTTCAGGGGCCCCAGGGGCCCCGGGGGCTTCAGGGGCCCCGGGGGCCCCGGGGGCCCCTAAAGAGGCCCTTTGTGTTGGCCGGAAAGTGCCAGCGCCTTTTGCAAATGAGCAGTGCTGCTCCGTTAAGGAGGAGTAGTTTAGTGTTCTGGTGTACACACACCCGCAGGCTTGCGTTTAGTTGAGCACCTGCAGGCCCTTTCTTGGCTTCTTCTTTGGTCTTATATTTGAAAGAATTCGAATGTGTTTCCACTAGAGTTTGAAGGGCTTAGTTGTCTCATTTGTTTTTTCTTTTCGCGTTTCTCTGGTTCGCTTTGTTGGAAAGCTAAAATGAAAGTTCTGAACTTCAAATGCACTAGTGTTTGCCCGGCAGCCAGGTCCGTGGAGGTGTACGTACACCTCAGCATGCGTGTTCCTTCCACTCAGTTCTACTGTTTGATTTGCTCAGCAGTTTTAATTAAATAAATGCAAGCTTCGTATTTGGGGGCCCCGCTTTGTTGCGGGGCCCCACAGCGGGGCTGCATGCGCTCCTGCGAATTGTTTAAAGAGTTGAATTTGTTTTTTCCAACGAATTGGCGTTTAATTGAATTCTGTTTAAAGTCCAAAACGGTGCAGAAATATCCAGTCTTTTCCAATTGTAAACTTTGTTTCATTCTATCGTAGATTGTCTTGGAGAAAATAGTTAAAAAATAAAAGTAAACTTAGTTTAATCATAGATTAGATTGTCTTGAAGAAAATAGTTTAATAATAATAAAAGAAAACTTAGTTTAATTCTAGTTTAGACTGTCTTGAAGAAAATACTTGAAAAAAATAAAAGTTTGTTTAGTTCTAGTTTAAATTGTCTTGAAGAAAATACTTGAATAATAATAAAAGGCTACAAAGATGACAAAGACGAAGACAAAGGCCGCTGGGAAACCTACAAACTTGAATAAATGATTTAATTTATTTATTAATAAATAAATGAAATAAATCATTTATTAACTTTTCATTTTTCGCGGGCAGCAGCTTTGCACGGCAGGTCCCGGCCGCGTCGCCAGGTGTACGTACACCGCAGCGTTTGGCTCGGGTGTACAGACACCGCAGCTGCTCAAAAGAGTTCGTTGAAATCCGAATCAAAATCGAGAGAAAAATACTCTTCTTCTTCCTCGTCTTCTTCTGAAGCTTCGAAGAGTTCAAAAAACGAAAAAGAGTCTTCTTCTTCTTTTTCTTCTTCTTCTTCGGAGTTGTTTTCGTTTTCTGCTGCAGAGCCGAAGAAAACCTCTTGGGCGAAAAAGGACATGAAGTCGGCGAGAGTGTTTTTCGCGGGCTCTCGGTCTTCGCCGAATTTTGCGTTTTCTCTTTTTGTGAAGCGGCCCCCGTCCCCAGAGCCCTCCCGCTCGAACTGTTCCCTTTCTTGCGGCCTCCGCAACATTTCGTAAGCTGCATTAATAATGACGAAGGGCTCCTCCTCGGGGTCGCGCGCGCGGGCCCCAGGTGTACGTACACCGCTCTCCTCGCCGCATAACGCCCGCACTTTGTCCGGGTGGCAAGAAAGGGCCTTCAGTCTGTAGGCCTTTTGAATGGAGTCTAAAGAGGCATTGGGCGGAACTCCCAGAGCTTCGTAGGGGTCATAGGTGGGCTTGCCTCTCCAGAAGCCCAGGGGCGTCACGCGGCAGAGCCCGGCGCGCCCGCTGAGGCATTTCCCCTCTGGCGGCTGCTGGCCCCCACACAAGACCCAAAATAAAGCAAATAAAAACCAAAAAGGGGGCAGAAAATTCATTAAGGGGCCCATTGGCGGGGGAACTTGGGAGGAAAGAGAGGATCAGTAGAGTCTGCACAGCCTCATTGTCCACTCGCCGTTGTGCTCCACGCTCTGCAGGCGCGGGAAATAAACAAACAGGCGCAACACGAGCTCAAACGTGCATAGTTAAATGAAAAAACTCCTTTTAAGTCGAAAAAAAACATAAAACAATTCATTTCGCAGCCCAGTTTTCTGTTTCATGTCTTGAACGGCGTCGGCTTGCTTCCGCAATGGCGGGCAGTGGCCGACAAGTCTGTTGGCTGCGGCCAAGAAAGAGCGAAACTCATTTGAAATATGGACTTTCATGTTTTATTTTGTGGCTAGTGCTTTTTATTTGTCTTGTCCCGAAAATGATTTCCAAAATTGAATAGATCGAGCACAGCAAGGCCGTGTGGACCACTGCGGTGTACGTACACTTGAAACGCAACAGTGTGTTCGCCAGACAAGTTGAAATATAAGACACTTCATGTAGAGAAATATTCAAATTTTTTGAAATAGAAAATCAATGCAATGCTTATTCATGAGTCCTAAACCTGCAGAAAAATCTAAACGATGTTACACACTGTCTGTAATGGTTACGAGCGCGGAATTGCACAACTTTTATCAGAAACAAAACAAAAAAAACTGAACAAATTTTCATAACTTTGAAAGATTCAAAGTTCCTCATTCAGGTTTTCATGGGAACTCTTTGTGTCTCCCGTCTGCGGCGCCTTATGCAGCAGTTTCTTTTCTCTTGTTCTTTGACAGTTAAAGAACACACGGAAGAAGACGCAAATATGTTTTCTTATATTTGTTCTTTGACTGTTAGAAAATAAATATAAGAAAACCCAAATACATACTTTTATATTTATTCTTTGACTGTTTAAGAACAAATATAAGAAAACCCGAATATATATTCTTATGTTTGTTCTTTAACATACATTCAGCTACATCTTGCCATTGTTTTTGTAATGCGCAAAGGCCAGTTTTGCTGTCGCTACACTGGAGATGAACTGAAGCAGGAAATAAAAACTTCTGGAGAAAGTGGATGGATGCCATTAATGGCAAAAGAAGGGGTGAAAACTTGGGAATTGACAAGGACAAGAAAAAGCCTTATCTTGTGTGCGATTTATCCTTTATTTCCACTATTTTCGAGACGCTCTTTGGCATTTTTGGCTCCGTTTAAATGAAAATAATCCATTAGCAGCCACTCGCCACCTCTTTGGTCCCTCGAGGCTCTTTTCGGCCTTCAATTCCTTTCCCCAAAAGGCGATTTGGCGCGTTTGCTTGCAGTGTATAGACACCTGAAATGTCCCCCATGGCTCTTTGTCGTTCGCAGTGCTCCTTCTGAGGTGTATCGACACCTTCGAAACCCTCCAACTGGTCTTCCAGGGAAATTCCAAAAGTGCTCGCCACTTCTGTCAGCACTTTGTCGACCTGCGCGTTGATCACACTATGCATGCATGCATGCATGCATGCATGCATGCATGCATGCATGCATGCAAGCCTTGCCCTCTGCAGTGTACGTACACCTGGTCATATACACGAGTATAGACGCTTTTAATGCACATGCAAGTACACTAAAAAACGCGCAACGCGCTCATCTCCATTTTCCACCAAACAATAGCCCAGTCTAAGCACTTATGTGTCACTTTCTATGGATATATATATGTATATATAAATGCAATATATGTATATATATGTACAGGTACATATACATATATAAATAAACTTAAAAAAATATATATTTATATGCATATATATGAGCATTTATACAAAAATATAAGTCACGGCATATACAAATTATCTCAAGGACTTTTTTTTCTAATTTTGTCTTCGACTTCACCTGCTGTGCCGGGACGGCGCTGGAAGTCGAAGCGTCGAGTAGACTTGAGACAGAGTCGCTTCTCACATCCTGGCAAAGAAGTGAAAATGCGCATTTAATTCAGCAACTCACGACTCGAGGGTTTAGGGTTTAGGGTTTAGGGTTTAGCGTTTAGAGTTTACAGTTTAGCGTTTAAAGTTTAGGGTTTATGGTCTTGGGTTTACGGTTTAGGGTTCAGGATTTAGGGTTTAGGGTTTAGGGTTTAGGGTTTACGAGATCGTCAAACAGCTTCGAGAAAAGCTCAATTTCACGCAGAGAGGAAGAGCTGTCGAGCTTTCTCAAAGCCCCCGAGAGCCCTGAGGCCACAGAGTGGATTCTTGTTGTGAGCTGAAGACAAAAGAAGAACAAAAGATTTATTTGAATTCAAATAAATGGTTTTCCTTGTTACGCTAAGGCAGAGGTTTCCAGTTCAAGTTGTACAGAAAGCTGCATGCACGAGAAGTTGAATAGAGGCTTCTGCATTCATTCAAGACTTTCATCCATTTAAAAAAAACTTAATTAGCTTTTTTTAAAAAACTTAATTAAAACTTGTGAATTATTTTTTTTGAAACTAAACGAGTGAACGCCACCATTTCAACTTCCTCAGCAGGCCTCACAGCAGAGCACTTTTATGTTTCCGCTGGAATAGCAAAACTAGTTTATTTATACCAGAATGATAAAACTAATTCAGAATCTTTTTTAAAATAAAACAATTTCAAGTCCCCATTTAAAGGAAAAAGCACCAGCTGCAGTTATTTGCACATGGCTCAGCTGTATTTGCTGAGCTTGAATTTTGCACAAAAGATGAATTGCGATCTTGCAGTTTGCATGCATGCGCAAATGTATAAAAGCAATTGCAGAAAGATATATATAATTAATATATATTTATTTATATTTTGCAAAAATAAAAAATAAAGAAAGTCGACTAGCCTGGTGAGAACGGTGGGCGCCGTCGAGGCGGGAAGCCACGGCCTCCAGCTTGGACGACATGTGGAGGGAGTTCAGTCCTTCTTGTTTCTTTCTTACATAATTTTGTGCAAATATTCTGCAAAAAAGTTAAAATAAAACAAATAAAAGACTTTAAAAAGATTATCAGCAGAGAGAGAAGCCAAAGATTCCATAAATGCTCAAGATTCGCGAGCTGAGGCACCGCCTCACGCCCAATGGCCCAGCCTCGCGAACTAAGAAGCTGCTGCTGCTGCTCCTGCTGCTGCTGCTGCTGCTGCAGCTACCTCGCGCCTTCCTGGTTCTGCCGCAGCAAAGCTCTTCGAATTTTCTCCCTCTCTTGCAGACTTTCTCTGTAGCAGCGGTCACTTTGCCTTTTCTGCGCAGCAGCAGCAAAAGCAGCAGCAGCATATGCCTTTTCTGCGCAGCAGCAGCAAAATCTCGCGCCCCATTTGCTGCCAAGAGAAGCAACGCAGGCGGCAAGAAGGCAAACACAAGACTTGGGGGAATCTTTGCGTTCATGCTAAAGAATTCAAGCAGATCTCCGTGAGTGAATATGCTTTCTGGCTTGTATATATATATATATACATACATATATATGTATATATGTATATACGTATGTATATGTATATATATACATATATACATATGTATATATATATAGATAAAAACCTATATGCATGCAAATATATAAACATATATATACATATACGTATATATACGCATACATGCACATCTGCATATATATATGTATCCATCTGTATATATATATATATATATCTATTCATACATTAACACACCTATATGTATGTGCCCACTTTTGGGAGCGCCTGAACCTGAATCTCCTCTTATATCTCTCTATCCGTTTGTTTGTGGGCTAATATAATTATTATATATCTCTGTATTTGCTTGTTTGCGGGCTAGTATAATGAGGGGGAGTTCGGAGTCAACTACGTGGGGCCCTCACGAGTTCTCGAGCTTTAATTCTCAAATCGAGAATGACAGGCAAGACAGAATGGTGGTTTCCCATTGTGTGGAGTGTACGTACACTCCGAACCACCCAAGTCCCCGCGAGCACTGCGCCGCCGACGACAGCCAACTGGCAGTGTTTGTTAAAAGTTGAATTGCAGAAGCATGAGTTCACCGCTGGCTGCTGTTGACTTTTTATCTCTTTTAAAACAATATTTGTGGAAATATGGCGGCTGGGAAAGGTAGAAGCTGTGGGAAACTCCACAGCTGAGTGATAGGGAGCCCAAGCAGTCTAGCGGAATCTTGCAAATTGTGGAGCGTTCTATCAAAAAAAAAGAAGAATCTGAGAATTTTTTGACAAAAATCATGTAAAAATGCGTTAATTACATTGAAAGGGGGGCTACATGTAAACAATTGTAATTGAAGTTCACATTTGTGTTTCAACGGGTCACCGGTGGGCGCTTCCGACTCGTGGGGTGTCTGTTGAGCTCCAAACGCAGCCCCTTTGCATGCAGCAGGAAGTCATTCTATTTAAATAATTAATCAATTACGTTTTAAAAACAACTACTGCACAAACAATTGCTTCTGTAAGACTTTTGAATTTCTTTCCTGAGTCTACGAAGCCCGCGGGGGCCCCAGTCGCGTTGGCAGCAATGCGCTTTGAGGATATCGGTGGACTCAGGCTGCTCCCAGCTAAAAATATTAAAACAAAGTTTTAAAATTGCCAAATTTATGTCCCCTGAGAAGAAGACAAGTGCCCATTCAAGGGGCTTTTTGCCGTTTCGAGCCCCCCTCGCGCTGCTCTGGCTACTTGTCTCAGTCGCATTTCGCTGTTTTCCACTTTCCCCCACGCGCTGCAGCGCTTCTCCCCGCAGCAGCAGCTGGCGCCTCCAATGGGGGCCCCCTGCAGCCACTTCTTCGGGGCCTCTCGTCCTCCTGCATGCAACTAAGGGCCATTTGCAGGGCCCGCGCTGCTGCAGCCAGCGGGGATTTGCCCCAGAGAAGGCCCCCCGCCCTTTGGCCTTTCAGACTTCAGATTTGATTAAGGTAAACTGCCAGCGCAGCCCCCTTCTGGGCCGCCTCTCCTTGCCCGGGCGCATGCATGCATGCAGCCTTGTGCGTATGCATGCATGCATGCATGCATGCATGCATGCATGCGTGCGTGCATGCATGCATGCATGCGTTTAGAGTGCGGGGAATGTTTTGGCTGCAGATCTTCGGCCGGCTTGCTGGCGCCTCCGCAGTGGGGAGCGCGCTGTGCAGCCCGTGGCCTTCTGCTGCTGCTGCAGCGAAGCAAATAATTTCGAAAGAAATGAAAAGTGGAGAAAAGAGAAAAAGAAATTGGAGTGTGAAGGAGTGGCTGCAGCTTTCGACTCCTTCTTTGCTGCTGCGGCGGCCGCCGGGGGCTGCATCAAAAGGCGCGCAGCAGCAGCAGCCGTGGGAGCTGCTGTTTGCTGCAGATGGACAGAAAACTGCCAAGCAGCAAGGCCTCACTTTGCTGCAGTTCGCCCATTTGCTGCCGCAGCAAACTTTCAAATGGCCCACAACTCTCAACACTGGCCAGGCCCCGTTGACAGCTCGTTTCGTGCCTGGTGAGGCGCTACAGCGGGGTGTACCTCCACCTGGGGTGTACGTACAGCTGGGGTGTACGTACACCTGAAGCCCGCGGCACGCAGCAGGCATTTGCTGCTGCGCATTCGCAACGGAAAAGCTGTTACCAGCCCTAAGAATGCAAAAATAAAAGCAAATAGTACTTTTTAATGTCAAGAGTCTTGTTTTTTTCTTTGTTTGGGCTCTGGGCTTTCAGTTGCAAACAAAAGCTTTCTCAGCACCTGCAGGCGAATGCGCAGCAGCGCCAAAAGGCACCTCAAAGATATGCAAAAGTTCACTTGGAAAGAAATAAATGAATTTGTGCAAAAGGAAACAATTTGCAAACACGCAATTGGTACTTCCCCACGCCTTTCACATCCCCTCCTCTCGTCTTTGCATCGTGGCCGCTGCTCCCAGCAGCTGCAGCAACAGCCGCAGCAACAACTGCAGCATCTGCAGCAACAACTGCAGCAGCTGCAGCAACAACTGCAGCAGCTGCAGCAGTCTTGCTGTGCGTGTTCTTCAGAATGCGTTTTTCGCTCCTTCTGTTCTCAAGCCGGCGCGGACTCAGAGCAGCTGCACAAGGAAGATGTGCTGCGGTGCATTTGGAAGCTGGCCCCCGTAGACGGTATAAACAAAATATGTATATTACAGTTATATAATAAATATATATAATATATATTATATATATAATACAATATAATATAGAAAGTGTAATACATACATACATATATGTACATATATATGTCTGCACTTGTGATTCTTCGTTTCGAATTCAAGTTTCCCTAAGCTGCTGCTGTAGAGAGCGCTGGCTAGGCTGTTGCTGCTGCTGCTGCTGCGGACTTGCGTGTGTGTGTCAGGGCTAATAGAGTGGGAGCAGTTTCTTTATTTTCTAGAAGAGGCCCCGGGGGAGGGTCTGGGGGAAAGTGTAGACTGAGGGCTACGGTGGTTCGGAACTAAAATGCGAAAGGACGGCTTTCGCAGATTCACATTACCCGGTGCTGCGTGCAGCAGCAGCAGCAGCAGCACGGCGACTCCGTGGAGTTGAACTAAAGAGAAAATGCGAAACGACGCATGCCGTTCAGAAGGTAGCGGTGTTGGGGCCAGTGCCGCATCCCGCGTAACAGAGATGTGCCAGATTGGGACGGCGCCTTCCAAAACCTGCTGCTCTTCTCAATTTACAAAACGACACAAGTGCTCGCGCCGGCGATGACAGGGTACCGACGACAGCGTTCGGGTGTACATACAGCCCGGACGCGGCAAGTTCCGCTGTGGGGGTCGCTTTCCAGGTGGCTGCGGCGTGCAAGTTTTCGGCCAACTGGACGCACTCCCCACGTTCAAACCGAATAAATAAATGAATAAATAACCGAATTAGAATAAACAATACCCTCGAACTAGGATTGCGGCAGATACGAAATGCAAAACATACAGCCGGGACCCTCCCCATCGCCTAATCATCACAACAGAGAAGTCCTCACCCGACTCTGAGCCGTGCAACGAACGTCACGACTGCGTTAAGTGCATCGCATGAATTATTTTCTGAAGACCCAAAATGCTTTGCTTTCTTCTATCGTCCCTTAACGCGAACAGCAAGTCGCCCGGCGATTCACTATCCAGCACTGCTGTAACTGTAACTTGGTGCAGGCCTGCACTTGGAAATTCCTTCTCCTGCACAAACGATGACAGCCAATTAACCTAAACTTTCAAATTGAATCTATTGCAAGGAACCACAAACGATGACAACCAACTAACCTAACTTTCAAATTAAATAGTGCAAGAAACCACAAACGGCAACAGCCAATTAACCCAAACATTCAAGTTGAATGTATTGCAGGAAAGCATAAACGACAACAAGCAATTGACGTAAAAACCGAAATTAAATGTACTGCGCGAAAGCACATACAATAACAACCAATTAGCCTAAAAATTCAAATTAAATGTTTTGCGTGGAAGTTCAAGTGGCTCATTCAAGTGAACAATGCACTTCCCATGCGCAGCTCACGCATAAATGCCACCTTCACTTCGCGCCTCCCATAAAACCCATGCACCCCCCAGCTCTCCAACTCCTTTCTAGATAACTTGATAAAAGAAGTAGATTTAAAAGGACAATAAAAGGACATATAGTGCAGCAGCTGTCCTAACTCACCTTAATTATTATTGGGGCCCCCACGCAGCTGCCACTGCGTGTTGTTAACTTCTCAACCGGCTCAGGCAATAAACATATCGAGGGCCGGCCAACTGCAGAGGCGCCCAGGAAGGCGTCCAGCCCAGCAGAGGTTTCGACGATTAGCCTGGATTCAGATAAAACATATGACACCCAGAGGACCTAAATAGAAAAAAATCTTGCAATTCAAAATATTGCTTTACATGAGGTATGCGATAATAGCCAAACGCCGCCACTTGTGCCATACAACTAAGCCTCTCGGAGTGTGCGCTTCCACAGCTTCCCATGTGCCATTTTTAACACATAAAAACTGAAACCTGAAACATAAATCCCCCAAAGCAAGATGCCACATTGTCCAAGGAATAACCAGCTACTGTGTTAACACATAAAAACTGAAGCCCGAAACACTGATTCTCCAAAATATGATGCCACGTTGTTTAGTAATGATCTGCTACACTGCGCAAGCACTGTGCAGTGCGGGCGCACCCAGTGTCGGCCGTGTCGACGACACCGAACCCGCAGAACTCCGCCTCAAACAAAGTTTTGAGTTGGTGCAAATTTCTCTGGACACAGTCAAGCCGCGTGTGAGAGACCGTCGTGTCCTGCATGATGCCCCACATAACCCCTGGGACGCAAGAGCTGCAGTAGCCGGCCACGCGAAACCACCTGCGAAGTGCAGAAACAAACAAATGCAAACCCAAGGCTCAGACTATCTGAGTGTGCAGAAACGCATAAGGGGAAGTCCCGAGGTAAGGCCAAAAAATCCCCCATGCCAGCCCACAACTGCAGCAATAGCTCCCCAGACACCCCAACTCAACAATCAACCTCAGCCAAATCCCCACAAAAAGAACATTCCAAACCTGTAAAAGATTCATTTTATTAACACATAGGCACCAGCACAGCGTGGAAAGTTGTACTAAGGTTGATGTGCAGAGTCCACTGCTGGTTTCACTGCCACGAAAAAGACAAGTACACAGGCCCGTAATAATACCAGCATTTCTAGACGCATGCTCTGTCCTCTTCGCCAAAAGTAAACTGCTAGCGTATATTGCATTATTTTGAAAGATATGGTGGGCAGAGTGGAGAAAGCTGAGGATGTTCAAGGTGCCTCAAAATAGAGAAGTTTGTTTCTGGCCCTTTGTACCTGATCTCTGCGTCCGATCGCTCGTAAGGCAACTCGAGAGAAAAGGAAGTCCCCTGTGTGCGCAGCCGCCGCACACACTCCAGCAGCTGCGTCTTCCCCGGTTCGAGGAAGAAGTCTGTCCAGTTCGACGCAGGGCTTGCGGGGGCCGGCCTTATGTCTGCAGCCAACAACATAGAGAAGGGCTCTCGGCCAATCACTTGGTGGCCCGTGACTCTGCGCAAGATGGCCTTGGACTGCTCCAGCAAGAAGGCCAGGGGCCCGTCCTTTTCGATTTCCAGGAGGGGGGCCCCCCCCGCCACCGTCAACAGTTTGTTGTAGCGGTGCAGACACACACCGCGGCCCGACAAAGGGCTCGGAATGGACCCCTCGGCCTTTTCTGGCGCGCCAGAATGCACTTCTTTTTCATAAAGTGAGGAGCACAGCGAAGGGTCGGCCCTCCGCATGTCCGTGACTGCGCCTGTACATACACCTGAAGAGGGCGCCCGCAGCGCGGAAGAACTCCCACCCATGCTTGGAGGCCCCTCGGGCTCCACGTTTCCCTCGCTGGAGCTGCTGCAGTTGCTGCTGTTGCTGCTGCTGCGGCACAGCGACGTGCAGCTACACATCAGCCGCGGCGACACCGCAGCCAACTCCGTGTACGACTGCTGCTCCCTGCCTTGGTTCAAAAGAGAAGAAGTGCACCTCTCACTCTCCGAAGCTGCGCCGTACACGAGCTGAGTCCCACTGAACTGCAGGCCCCCAGGCACTGTTTCCCTGGCCCCGCAGCTGCAGCCAACAGTTTCGAGTTCCACTCCGGAGTCTGAGGGCCTCCCCCTTTCGAGTTCCGAAGCCGAGGGCACCACGTCACCTGCCTCTGCTGCTGCTGCCCCCGCATCGGCGACAGCCGCGGCAGCAGCCGCGGCTGCAGCAGCTGCAGCCGCCGCAGCTGCTGCTGCGTCCGCCGCAGCTGCTGCTGCGTCCGCAGCAGCAGGGTCGGACACTTCTTGTGCAGCAATGGGGTCCAACACCCAAGCCACTGTGGACATGCAGTCCGACAGCCCGCAGACCAGCGCCTCCTGCACTGCTGCGCAATGTCGCAGCAGCGTCGCGTCACTCCACAAACAAGCAAACAGATAGGGGGAGCCACAGTCTGTGACGGACACTCTGAAGAGCCTCGAAGCTCCCTTGTTGTCTTTGGATGGGTTTGAGCGAACCAGCACTACTTGAGGCTCGGAGGAGCTGCTGCTTTCCGCCTCCCCTGCTGCTGCTTGCTGCGGACTTGCTGCGGATCGGCCCACAGCTCGCCTCCCCGTCTTCGCCGACTCTCTCCGCCTCTCCTCCGCCAACTCGAAAGCCCTTATCAAAGCCTGGCGGTCGTCGGGGTGCACGAAGTCATCGCAAAAGAGCTGTTCTGCTTCCTTGCTGCTGCCGCGGGGGCCCGTGCGCAGCGACCCCAGCGCGCCCCAGGGCTCCTCAGCCTCTGGCGCACAAGTCCACAGAATGCGGCGGCGGGTGTTGCAGATGGTGACGCATCCTTCGGTGAGAGCTGCCACCAGCCGCAGGTAGCGGCCAACTACGGAGGCGCTCCAAACCCCATCACAGGGCAGTTCCTCTGCGGACTCCGCGAGGCGCGCCTGCGCTCGCTCTCCGCAGGACAGCGAAGACGCAGATAGCCACAAAATAATCGGAAACAGCCAAAGCAGAGAAGGCAGAGGGTCGTCAAAGAATGAACTCAAACGACGAACCGCCAGCTGCAAACGCACCCGCAAACCCCGCACGCAACCCGAAACGCCTCGAAACCTCAAACCCAGAATCCTCAGCTCTTGCTCCAAGTGCACCACTTGTGTTGTTTTCAATTTTTAAGAAGTTCTAAAGAACATTAGGGCGGCCCTCTCACCCTGAGGAGCAGGAAACCAGCAACGGTTCTATCCCGCTTGGCGCTGTTGATGCAACACGGTGAAGAGTTAATCAGTAAGAGCGCTCCTATAAGGGCTGCTAGTTCTCCCAGAGACTGCACACACGGCGATAAACATAAACGAGGGCGCTGAGGGCTGAAGCCGAAACACCACCCATGCAGGCACTCCCTAAAGACTACAAGTGGCAAGTTTCTGCAGAGCGGTATGGGCTGGGAGAAACCCCAAGAAGCAGAAGAGGCAGCTCCGTCAAAGTCTAAAGCAATAGTAACACGGATAGATTCGACTCAGCCTTACAACGAACAAAAAAGACAAAATAAACAGGATTCGAGAATCCCGGAAATGGGGCCTACTGGGAGGGTGGAAAACTGGGGGTTGTTTCCACCCGGGCTGGACGCGACGATGCCGAAGTAGCAAATGACGAAACCGTCGACAGCTTTCGAGCGGAGTCCGAGGCAAGAAAAAAGCGGCAGCAGCAACAGGGAAAGAGGGAGCTCGGGGCTGTCTTCAGACCAGAACGATGTCAAAGTCAAGGCTGGAACAAATGGCGTACGGAAAGGAAAAAGTAGACCAGCAAAGTCGCCACAGCCCGGCACAAATGCGGCAAAACAATAGAAGAAAAATGCAAAACCTACGGGCACTGTGCGCGGGAAGAAGCGGGGAAAAAATGAGAACAAGACAGCTGGATCTGCGCAAAAGATGAACTGCCAGCGAAACCCAAAAGCCAACACGCAACG